TTAAGAGTATGACTCAAATAAAGTTCAATTCAGCCTATTTATTTAAGTCCTAATATCCTAACACTTCGTGTAATCCAAAGAATCATTTTTTGTGTACACCCCTCTATTTTGGGTGTTTTACGAAGGCCATCCATAGATTTAGGATGTTTTCTTTTGGACTGAAATTTGCTGGTCTGGTCTGGTCTGTTTAAGTCTGGTCTGGTCTGGTCTGGTCTGTTTAAGTCTGGTCTGGTCTGGTCTGATCTGGTAAACGTCTGGTCTCTGTGTATTTTATAACTACGGAAGTCTGGTCTGGTCTGGTCTGTTTAAGTCTGGTCTGGTCTGGTCTAGTCTGTTTAAGTCTAGTCTGGTCTGGTCTGGTCTGTTTAAGTCTGGTCTGGTCTGGTCTGGTCTGGTAAACGTCTGGTCTCTGTGTATTTTATAACTACGGAAGTCTGGTCTGGTCTGGTCTGTTTAAGTCTAGTCTGGTCTGGTCTGGTCTGTTTAAGTCTAGTCTGGTCTGGTCTGGTCTGTTTAAGTCTGGTCTGGTCTGGTCTGGGACTGAAAACAGTCCAAAAGAAAACATCCTTAATTGCATCATTTAATATGAATTGCTTTTATAAACCATGCAAAATAGGACAATGTACAAATGGTGCCAAAATAGTATACAAATAGAAAATTTCATTCCATAATATAATGTAAACACATGGTGAATGTTTCCTAACTAATGGTATCTATGGTATGATGTTAAAAATAGTCATGTCTTTTTGCAAGAGGAATGATATAGTCTATTCGGACTTGGCTAATCTCGTTTGAAGGCCTTTCTAGTCAAATTGTTTTATGCATTTTTGTGATCATTTGTTCATAATGTGCAAAACATTCACACAAAATTTCAGCTTAAAATTTTACACTTCATGAAGAACATGCTCATAAAATTTCATAAAACAATTTAATTCAGAAGGCCCTCAAACAAGCTTGGCCGGACAACGGTTCCTGTCTGCCTAGATCATTCCTCGTTTTTGCAAATCGTGACCAAAGTAAGACTTTCTAAGGTTTTAAAATTTTAAAACTCATAATTCAGTAGTATTAGATAACATAAATAAAATATATAAAAAATTATCAAATAAAACTCTATACGATAAGTTAAATTTGCACTTGTGCTCTTGTACAAAATAAACACTCAATCAAACACACCCATTCATACAAAATAATTAATTGGAATTTTTAGAGGGTATGTGCCACAATTGTGCAACATATGTGGCCTTTTATCACAATAAAACAGTATTTCAGGCAGTGTGCCACAATATCGTCCCAGAAGGAACCTCACTAGAGCACTGTCCAAATCAATTAATTTTGATTTTTTGCAATGTGAGTATGTGACCAAGACCAAATTCTGAATTTTTTGGAACCAATTATTTCGATCATTTGTAACTTTGAATAGTTGAGTCTAGGGGTGGGCAAACAGGTCTTGGAACCGCGGTCCGGTCCGGGTAATGGCGGTTCGGGTCCAAAACGGGCCGGTTCCATTTTTTGTTTCCATAAAACGGTCCGGGTAGGGTCGGGTAATTTTTTTAAGGAACCGGACCGGTTCCAAAATTAAAAAATAACGGGTACCCGGCCCGGCCCGTTATATATATTGTATATTAATTTATTAATAGTTTTGTGATAATCGGTTTTGAAATAGTTTTGTTTCCTGTGCTAGAAGTAGGATTTTAAATTGAGTTGCAGTAACATCCTTTTGTTTTCAAATTATTGATTAAATGTTTCATAAATATCTTATTACTTTTTATTGTTATTGAATTGTTCCTTTCTATGGAATTTAATTATTTGTTAAAGATGATTTTGTTATATTTTTTATTATATTGTTATTAAAATATATAAATTGTGTTTACCACCCACCATGTATGTGTCAACTTTGGCTAATACTGAAAATTTAATAATAAAAAAAAAAGCAATCACTTAAATATGTGATGTTAGACAACATGTTTAAATATAAATGTTAGAAAATATGTATTTTGGTTATGTTGCATATTTTTGGAATTTCTTTAAGAGGTATTTACCTAAATAGGAGTAAATCCATCTTTAATTGCTAAATTAGGAGTAAAGTTTAAAATTTCCCCAAATAGGACTTATTATATGTAGTTGGACAGATGACCCCCGAAATTTGCCAAATCTCACTGCTGCCGACAAACCTCAGACCACCGCCGATCACCGTCGGCCGCCGCAACCACCGCAGAACTAGTCGTCGTTAAAGATATGGCTGCTACTAATACAGATCTGATAGTTTCCTCTGCAGATCTGACTGCCACCTTCATGGATCTAGCCGGATCTTACCGCACCAACCGTCTTCCGCCGCCCCTGAAGATTTGGCCGCCGCCTTTATAGAACTGACCTCCTCCGTTGCAGATTCGGTGCCCACCGTTGCAGATCTGACTGATCCCATCACTCATGCCAATATTTTCATTAGAATGCCACCATGAATTTAGAATGCCATATGAATGGCATTTTCAGATGGAAATATGGAATTTGTGAAGTGTAAGAATGCCATTTTTATGGCATTTTCAGATTAAATTTGGAATTTGTAATCGGCCAAATAATAAGAAACAGAGCTTAAAAAGATGAAACATAAGAGAGGTGTTTAGAAGAGGGAACAAGATGATCTTTTCCAAACAAAATTTAGTCATCTCACCATCTCACCGTCGTCATCAAAGGAGTTCTCCGTTCGCTGCTTTCGTAAGCCTCTCATAGATCGATGCAGCTTCCCAGTTCGCAGGTACAATAAGAATGGCGAGAAATAAGAGTCCAAGCAGAATGATACAGAGTAATTATCGGAGAGAGAAGCATCAATAAGGGAAATATGGATTTGGGATTTGACTGGTGGGAACACTTCATTAAGGGTAGAATAGGAATATCATTTAAATTTAGTCCCATTTATGCATAAAAACAATGGAAGTCCTACGGATGCATATCCCCTGTTTTTTAGTCCCATTTACAGCCATAAAGTCTTTCTTTAATTGTTTGAAACTTATATACAAGAAAATATGGAGTATTGGACTTTTCGCTTGTGTTATATATGCACCACTATGTTGTTATTTTGAAACTTGCTAATGTCCTATATTATTGATTATTGATTTTTGGAACTTCGTGAGTTTTTACTAATTTCAAGACATGAGAATAGAAACCGTAAAACCCGAACCGGACCAACCCGTTTAAAACGGGCCGGGTAATTTCCGGTTCCTATTTTGAAAATTGTAATACCCGGACCGGACCGAACCGTACAATGGAACCGGCGGTTCCATTTTATTTTTCATTACCCGCCCCGACCCGGCTCGTGCCCAGCCCTAGTTGAGTCATGAAGAAAGGAAAGGAGAAAGAACAATTGAAGCAAAGAGATGAATGAAAAAGGGAAAACACGGAAAAGAAAAAATTAAAGGAGTGGACGATTGCAGATCCGACCTCCACGGTTACAGATCCGAACCCTGCCGCTGCAGATCTGACCGACCTCGCCACTTATGTCAATATTTTCATTAGAATGCCAAGATGAATCGAAAAATGTCATATGAATGGCATTTTCAAGGGGAAATATGGTATTTGTGAAGTGTAAGAATGTCATTTTGATGACATTTGCGGATTAAATTTGGAATTTTTAACGGCCAAATAAGAAACAGAGCTCAAGATCTGCGATGAAAAGATGAAACGAAAGAGATGTGCTAGAAGAGGAAACAAGATAACCTTTTCCAACAAACATTTGCAGTCATCTTTTGTCAAATAATGCAAAGTAATGGATAAAGTAATGAATAGAGTGGTTAAATAATTAAGGTTATTAGGGGAGAATACCTTGTGATTTGAAACATTTGGACACCAAATTGCTTTAAACAATCCATTTTACGACTATTATACAAACGAACAACGTGCAAATAACTCTTCTTTGATGTATGAGTTTTATATTGAAGTTCATTATATATGGCATACAACTTCAAGTGCAAAGAATATCTTCAAGATCTATCTTTAAACTTGTAAACATCATTCCATATTGAGTGAGGATAATAGTGAGTGATGAGTTCCAAATTATGATTAATGGAAATTGTGTCAAAAGAAGGTGAACGGGGAGAATGTAATTGGAGGTAAGGAACTTCACACATTAAACTACGACAAATAACATCAGTGGTTGTAATAGGGCATTTGGATGTGTATATTGATGGGGTTATAGGACTAGGTCCAGAACCTAATCGGCCCAAGTCCCGAATTTGTACCCATCAGTCCAAGCCCATGACCTAAGCTAGCAGGCCCAAGCCCAAGCCTAAACCTGGAAGGCTGCCTACTAGCCCGGGCTCAAGTATCAGGCATGTCAACCAGGAAGAGTAACGGTCAAACAATTAATGTGTTGTTTAATTATGTATTTAATTCTGTATTAATGTTGTAAGTAATTAGTCATTTATTGTGCATAGCTGTTTCCATTTGTAAACGCCAAAAGGCAAGTTGTAATTCAAATTAGGGAAAAACTATTTCTGGCAACTAAACCTCCTTTGTAACTTTCATTTTCGAACTTGTTGTTTCCTGAGTGTTCTGTCGTAGATTTCCCGAAAAGCCTATGATTGTCCATTTGTGGACCAACATATAGCATAGCATTTACTTGATGAACAAACTAGGTTCACCAAATGAAGAACCTTCATTTGATGAACCTCAAATATCACATATAACAGTGTCTGCTAAAGAAACCATGAACGTGTTCCACCCACAAGGAGTATTTTTGACAAAACGTGTGACATTTATCAATCATAAAAGACAGCTTGAACTGGATATTTTATTTGTAATTACTAAATAAGTAAGATAGTAGAGACATAAAGGCCTGTTTATAATAACGAAGGTGCGGAGCAAAGTTGTCATTACGGTTGAAATTGTAGTCACTGTCTCGGCTACCATCCAACTTCACCATAATCAAAACAACATAATCCAAATGGATACCTAGGAAGTTACAAAATAAAAGGGTAAAATAAAGGATTTAAAAAAAGGTATAAAAAAACAAAGTAAACACGATATTTTTTTAACATTAGTCGAACTGAACAAAAATTTCAAGTATTTGGCTGATCCAAAAAACATCAACTCATAGACAACCATAAGTCAAGCACTACGGCATTGACTGTATTCATAAGACTAGATTCAAATATACACAATATTAGCTACAAAATTGAAAGATGACTCAGTATGTGCATCTGGACGTAATCAGCTGAGTTTTTCGCATTGAGCGCCTGCAATATGTGATTCTTCAATGTGCCTTGTAAGCAATGATATACCATGATGTGATGCACTTGAAGCAGCATAATATGAGGTCTTGTAAATTTTGGGGAAGTGCATAATTACCAGACACCAAATGCTGCACTAGCTGCAGAAAACATCAGAAGTGGAGAAACCCCAAATATAAAAGGAAGCCACTTTGGTCCCTTGACACGCTTCTGAACAAAGGGGATTCCTGTGTTCAACCCATAGACTGTGCTAAGCATTCCGCCCATTACAGAGCCAGCCACCGCAGTAAAGTCGTGCAAAACGGTGTGATTGTCCATTCTGCGTTGTCACTTGTCAGAGGTGGGGTTTAAGAGAGACAGACAGCGAGGACAGCGAGCAGAACCCAGTCCAGGCTTGATAGTCGGATCATGATGCAGATTCCCTGTTCTCAACCTCTCTTCATAAACCTCCTGAGTCCCCATAGCCACCGAGTAAACACGACATACACTTGTACAAATTTCAAATAAGTAATGTTAAATCACATATTGCGATAAGAGTGTAATGCGAAAGGCAAATGCATTAATATTGTTAACTCACATATTGCGAGAAAAACAATAGGTAAATATTATTCTAGAGAGAGATAAACATCGAGAATCTCTTAAAGGGTGTACATATTTTAACAAACAAAGTTAGAGTGAAAAGGTGAACACAATTTCAACTGAAATTACCGAAAATGTCAAATATTATTAATGATTAAGCCAAGAACATGATCATAAGTTCATATGTGAAATCTAGTGTAGATGACAAAACTGAGGTTGATCGGAGTATTATGTGAACAATCCACAACACGCAGTGACGGAGCTAGACATGTCAGGTTACGGGGGCCAGGACTTAGAGAAATCATATTGGAGGGGGGCAGACTTATAATTTTTCTATATTTTTTACTTCTTATAAATATGTATACATATATGTGTACTTTGTAAATATTTATACATATATGTGTACTTCAGAGAAAAGCATAAAACTATGGCAGACATTGTTTCCGTCATACAGCTGGATATTATCCATGAATTCAAATTTGAAAAATTACTTATGCACAAACTGAAGAGAAATATGAATACGATTTCTAAGCCAAAGTAAGTGAATACCAGAGTGCTTTCAGAAAACCTACGAAGGAATGATATTACTCGTTCACTTGTATAGAGAACACAACGAAGGAAGGAAATGGCAGGAAAGCAATATTAGAAGAGAAAACAATTGGGAACGGACATAATCGGTTAATCGCCACATGAATCAAGCAAAGCCGGGGGAAATGCCAGAAATAAACTGTTATAAGAAGGAAAGACGTGGTTGGCTGACCTGCTATAGCAAGTGACCTAATAATATGCACTGTAAAACTCTCCAGGGGTAGATTTGGAAATGCTTTTTTATAATGTTCATTAGAAGTAACTTGCTACTATAAGAGGCAATTTCTGTTTTAGTCCTATAAGAGGTAATTTCTATATTATATCTCGATCTAATGTTTCAATTCCCAACTGTCTTCCTCCATCCCTTTGTCCATCTCATTGTCAGAAAACTAGAGGCATATTGAAATAACGAAAAGCAGGAAAAAAAGTGTAGGCAGAGACTAATCATTTGCAATATACCCGTATAATTTAAAATTTTAAACTATGCATCAAATAAATGTAGAACAGCATAATGAGATGATATTTAGAGAGATTGAGAGAGAAAATATGTCTTAATAGTGTAGGCATGCACCTAAAGATTAAAGATACATTTCAAAATCTAAAATCACCAACCAAATACTTGAATAAACATGTGTAATTCTTTGATAAGTAAAAATATATAAAAGCATTGGAAAATATTGTTAAAAATGCTAACCCAGTTAAAAAACCAATACTTTATTCAAAAAAATGAAAAGCCTTCATAATTTTAAAATGGTTTGATATCATACAGGACCATTTGGAGCCCAGCTGGATGGCAGGCTTCAACAAATAGTACCAATTCAGATCTCCGTTCTTTTGGATTCAATCATCAGGCTTTTTTCATACAAAATGGGAAACTAAGACCAGCAACATTTTACTTTTCACATTATTTACTCTATGGGCCCTGGGTAAGGAACCCGATCTTTTTCTGGTTTCTTAATCCCAAAACTCAGGAGCGGATCCAGGAATTTGAGATGAAATGGGCTGAATAGAAATTATACTAGGTTTAAATATTAGAGGGATGCGCTAAACGTGAAAAATGAAAAAATTTACTCTAAAAAAATTGAAAATTTTCTAAGTTACTCTGCATTTCAGTCTGCCATAGCCAGTGCATAGATCCAAACACCATTGTGATGGCATGAAGTACATAGGGTTGCGTTTTCATGATTCAAACACCAGTAAATGAGTTCGAGAGATAAACCTTCCGATATAAATCAGTAATGCTTAACCCCAAACAAAATCTATAGTAAAAATCAAAGAATTGATACAATGAAGTAGATGAGTAATCAGTGAATACGTACGAATAGTTTTTTTAAACAATAAAATCGGTATAATATAAAATCCATGAACCAGAAAGTATATGCTGTTGATAAATACGGAATAATCAGTGGAGTATTAAAACCAGTACATTGAAATGTAAAAAACGGTGTCGCTCACCGTGGGGGGGAGAAGAGTTTCTAGGCAGCAACGGTAACATCACTCAAGTCCTAACTGCAGCGCTCCTCTAAGAGAAATATTGTGGCTGATTAAATAGGTTTGAGCTTATGCGATTGGTTTGTTTAGTTGGCCCGCTATGCAGATTTCCAGATTGGGCTACAAATAGCCTTTGACTTTTTTTAAAATTGAATACAGTAAGGATGTTTTTACTTGGACTGTAATTTGCTGGTCTGGTCTGGTCTGAACTGGTCTGGTCTGGTAAGGTCTGGTTTCTTTGTATTTTTATAACTATCCAAGTCTGGTCTAGGGATGGACTCGGGCCGGGCGGCCCGGCCCGGAACCGGCCCGGCCCGGTCACTGTTTGAACCGGCCCGGGGGGCGGTTCGGGCCGGCCCGGCCCGGTTACTATTCGGTTCGGGCCCGGGCCCTGTGATTGGCGAACCGGCCCGGCCGGTTCGGGCCCGGTTCGGGCCAAAATATATTTTTTTTTTTGAATTTTTTTTAAGTTTTTGGGTTGGGCTTGATATTTTGGGCCATTTGAGGTGGTTTGGGGTAGTTTGGGGGTGAGGGGGGAGGGTTGGGGGTTAATTAGGAATAGCAAAAAAAAAAAATGAACCGAGGCCCGGCCCGGACCCGGGATTACCCGGGCCGGTTCCGGGCCTCCCATTTCTGAACCGAGGCCCGGCCGGGCCCGAACTGGAACCGGTCCATCCATAGTCTGGTCTGGTCTGGTCTGGTCTGAACTGGTCTGGGGCAAATTACAGTCCAACTAAAAACATCCTAATTCTTCATATACTACCCTAAATTAGTGTTTGAAAGTATCAAGCTAAATTTCAATAACTAAAACCATCTCAATCCGAATTGCTATTAGAATAAATAAATAAATATACCAATGTCCTCTGTTCTATATTTTATATAAACATACTACATATAAAATTTGGTGTTTTAAATTTTTTTAATGTTTATGTTCCTTGGTGTTCTTGTACAGAATTTTAGAGGTATAAGAGAATTTTTGTATTAGGATGTTTTTGTTTGGATTGTTTTCAGTTTCAGACCAGATTAGACCAGATCAAAAAATTCAATCCAATTAATAACATCCTTATTCCTTGATATAAATCCATTTAAGAAAAGTATCATTTTCATTCAGAAGAGGAGTTGAGCATATTTATCACTATGTTTTGGAGTAATTGGAAAGTTCATAATGAGTAATGAGTTCATCTGGAAGGAAACTTAATTCAATGATGGGCAGGTGGCAAAAAAGGACAGCGATCTTGCAGGGATGGTGCACACTGCACAGCTTAAGCAATGGCAAAGTCCATTTCTGAAGCAGGTGGAAGCAAGTGCAGAGTGGAAACAAGGATATGAAAGCGTGAAAGTGGAAACAGACACTCTAGTTGTTTGATAAAGGCTCTCAAAAAGTCAAAAGGAGCCAACGATTATTATCTTGAATTATAATTATTGAATCAAATTTTATCTCACGAATTGTGCAGATCATGTTCTAGCTAGAGCTATCGTTCCACATGCGGATGGAAGAGCTATTTACGAAGTTATTCTAGATTTCATTTGTTCTTAACAATTGTTTGAATTAATAATATAAGGCTGGTTAGTTACAGTAAACAAAAATACTCTGTAATTGGTACTACGTATTTCTCTACAAGATTAAAACCAAACAGGGATCAAGTAGAACTAGAACAAATGCCGATTTGCAAGGATGGTTTTACTTAAACTGTTTTCAGTCTCAGACCAGACTTCCATAATTATAAAATACACAAATACCATACATTTATTCAGACTTAATCAGTTCAGACCGGACCAATCAAACTTAAACACATCATACCGGCAAATTTTTGTCCAAGTAAAAACATCCACGTGTGGCGACAGGATTGATTGTTCTTCGTGTAAGCCTGTAACTCTAAAAGGGATTAGCTTAGTTTGAGAAGAGTAGTATAGATTAATTTTCCCGCTTTGCCCATACAAATTATTCTCATAAACAAAGTGATAAAGAAATTGTTGTTGTATCCACCTATCAGGAATTGGACTGGCCTGTCTACTGCCATTTTAGGGGGAACCAAGACTGTAACCCAGCATTAACCAGTACATAATACTGGTCCAGCTTCAGAACCATCCCAATGGGCAAAAGCTTGGGTGGTTTAACTGTCTCATTCCGGTTCACAGCTCCTCTTGTTTCAGTCTGGTTCCGGGACAACACCATTTGGACCAAAAGAGTGGGGATATTTGAATGGTTTCAAATCAAAAGTACTACATCATAAATAACTGTAAAATACTACTCTTACAACAGAATAACTTTAGTCTTCTACAACATTCATTTATTTTTTGGTTGTGAGGTAATTTTTTGCATACCACATTGTTCTAAACATTTTGGGGAAGAACAAATTCAAGTGTCTCCTTTTTCTTTTTGGTCTAGTTCGAAGAGGTGTGTTTGGAGTAGTACTGCCTTCCATCCCCATAGGTTTTACAGAATGATCTTCTTTTCCAGACCTTGCAAACATAGCAATGAAGAAGCCTTCTTTATCCTTCACCAGGTCAGTTCGCAACAAATTTTCAGCTGACGATATACAAAAGACTTTTCAGTAAATTGCATCACAGCTTTCAGCAATATTGCATTAAGATAAATGAATTACTCAATGGAATTTTTATTAGGGAAAATGTGCAAATATATCCTTGATGTTTAGCACCGGGTGCAGATATGCCCTAAGGTTTTGAAAGGTGCAAAAATATCCCTAGAGTCCATATTTAGGAGAAAAATTGTACTTATTAACTTTAAATAGAAAAAGTATTAAAAAAACAAGAATAAATTAATGAATTTGGAAAACAAAAAATAAAAAATATTTCTTTTATTTTTACAAAAAATGGAAGCATTGAACACAAAATGGATTTTATTTTTCAATCTCCAAACTCAATATATTCATTACTTTGTTTTTGGCAATTTTAAATATTTTTTTTTATTTGAAGTCAATAAGGGTAAGTTGCTCCTAAATATGAACTTTCGGGATATTTTTGCAACTTTCTAAACTTTAGGGGCATATTTTCACCTGGAGCAGAACATCAGGGATATACTTGCTCCTTTGTAGTTTTTATAATATCTTTGTAATTTGTCATAGCTTCTGAGTTGCGTTTTGCATTTGATTATGTGCCATTATGTCAACATCTATATTGAACATGTAGGATTGTTTTTGTATATGGAAAGAAATATGAATACATATAAACATGAACAACATATGGTAATATGTATACATTTTTATATTAACATATTTCCAGAGCCTTCTTGTTCTATATATTTTTATAAAATACCGCTTCCCACATTTCTTGTTTCGTGTTTCATATTTTCGTGCTACATAGCCAATAAAATATAAGGTTTAAACACTTACATCCAGCCATAACTGGAAGACCACGGTGAGGCCATTGGGGAAGAACGGTTTCCAGTTCAAATCCATGAGATGTGGCAAACGGTAGCAGAGAGTGGATAACATCTTCATTCTCGATTTGGTGAATAGAGCAAGTACTGTATACAATTCTCTCCACTGCTGGAACTGCAACAAAGTTGGAAGTATGTCACTAGAAACTATGCTACATCACATATAGGAAAGCGAGATGCATGTCATAATCTAATGCTAGAGAGGATAAGAAATTATGTTAAAAGTTAAAACACACAAAATCATATACTCACAACGTAATGCATGTTCCAAAGCTTTCTTTTGGAAATTTGCAAGGTTTTGTAGTCTATCCAAGTCAAGAGTATCGAGTGTACCTTCAGAGGCGAAAGGAAAGCCTGTGACTTGCAGAGTAAAAGAAGAATACCCGAGCTGGCCGAGCATACAAAGTCAACAAGATCAAAATATTTATCATGAATCAACTTAGCATAAATGGGGGTGATTGGGGGTAACATTTGTACCAGTCCAAAAGTACAAAACTACAAATTGCAAACAGCTATTCTCTAAATAGAGAGCCATTGCATGTCTTCCCTTTAAAAATGAGTTGCCCATTGTGCGGCATCCAGTTTTATTAGCTATTTATGCAACTTAGAGATTGATTTTTTTAACTCTCCCTAAACCGTGATATTTAAATTGAGGCGAGAGTATTCTGAAAAAAGCTGAAGGGACCCAAATAGTGAATCCATGAAACCAATCTGATCAACCAAGTGATTTTCCTTTAACAGAGCCTTTGCCAACATTTCTCTTACAAAAGTAGTCATTGAGCACAGATACAATCTTACACATTCCATTGCTGGATATGGGGTGTATTTAGCCTTTGGAGTCTCAATGAGTTTGCTGCTGAGTTTGCAATCTTCCAAAGGAGGCGAATAAATACTAGGTTGACTTTCTCAGATATTTCCAACACTGACTCCAGTTCGATAGGCTAATAATAGGTATTGGCTTAACAAATAACAATGGTTGCTCACCTTTCATATTTATAAGATGAGCACCTTCGTGAGCTTAGCTATGGCAGCATCTACCTGATCTATCGTATTTAGCAGAGCAACATGACCCTACTCCAGTGGTTCTGTAGGGTTTTCTATGTGTGGTTATGCAGGTGAAACCTAGAGATAAGAATTAAAGAGTACAGAACCAGATACTAAACACTAAGAAAGCTTTTATTAATGGCGGAAGTGAAGCAAAATAAACAGCACGGTTTCCAAGAAACCCTCCAGTCTGGTAGATTTATTTTGCCCATTAGGCATTAACTATGCAGACCATCCTTTCCTCTAGGAGCAGTTTTATTTAGTCTTACAAGACAAAATAAAGAGGTAAGTACGGGTAAATTAACTATCATAAAAGGATTGACAAGATCTAGAAAATTATGCTAGATACAGAGCCATAATACTTGTCTTTGTCATATCTTTGCTTTCACTGTCTGTCTGTCTCCGATAGCAAAAGGAAAGTTTGTCGCAGCAATTAGGTAGCAAATTGGGAATCGCATTAGCATGGTGAGAGGTCTCATTCCTTGTAGATGTGGCCTTCTGACTAGTACTTAGTTTTGACTTGAGAAGTCTTATTATCTTCAGAGTATTGGATCTGAGCTGAAACCCATGACCCCATCAAACAAAATATAGTCTGTGATTGAGACAGGTATGATAGGTCTTGTGATTTTATACTTAACCTGAGATCTAGTCAATCCCAACCAATTCCTATTCACGATCTTAGCAACCTTGGTTTTAAGTTATACTCAAGTTCAATGTCAATATGTAAGCGCATACAGTAACTTATATGAACAACTACTAAATCCGTAAATTCTGGTGGATCATATGTATGCTATTTATTTAAATTGTATTTCATCACGCTTTATTTGTTACCTCCACTGGCCGATGGGAGAAGGTGGTCCAGCCTATCAAAAGCAGTCCCAGATCCAGAGCAAGATGGATCCAAAAGTATTGCACGAACCTATAAAGAGTGGGTCGTGATGAAGAGAAAAGAATATAAGAACATTATAGAAAACTGTATGAGCATTACATTGACACATAGTCACATACAACGATAAAGGGATGATTATGAATCTCAAAAACACTCTAGTCTCTTGCTCTGAAAAAGGGTATAGAATATGTCTTACTGCAGTGCAAACTAATTAAGAAGAAAAGTTTACATTAAAAGTGCAAGCTAGATAAAGAGTGGGTCGTGATGAAGAGAAGAGAATATAAGAACATTATAGAAAACTGTATGAGCATTACATTGACACATAGTCACATACAACGATAAAGGGATGATTATGAATCTCAAAAACACTCTAGTCTCTTGCTCTGAAAAAGGGTATAGAATATGTCTTACTGCAGTGCAAACTAATTAAGAAGAAAAGTTTACATTAAAAGTGCAAGCTAGATGAAAGTGAAAATGGCTCGTTGAGAATAAGTCAATGATCTACGCGGCAATATATTGATCCTAAAATATACGTAGTACTACATATGTTTTATTAAGATCTTAAATAGCGTGTTGGATGGGGAAGGTGTGGGCAGTTTCTGTCGATGATGGAGATAAACAACATTTCAATATCTTCTTTCAGTTCGAACCAGAATATAGTGGGAAGGATTTAATGTCAAGGTCTTCTTTTCTACTCTTTTGTTGTTGACATGCAGAACCTTTAAATACAGAGTTTCTTTTTTTGTATTTCAACAAAATATAGTGGCAAAATGTTTAATGCCAAAGTTTTTTTTGTTATTGACATGCAGGTTCAGTGCATATTCTTTATGCTAAAATTGTGGGAAACTTCGTATAAAATACTACCTTGTCCCAATAACAAGTCCCACTTTCATAAAAGGAAAGTTTTTAATAAGCAAATGTCACAATTACAGTACTACCCTTCCTTTTTCTTACTTTTTGATTGATTTGACATAAAGTGGGGATTACATGGAAATCCATAACAAAAGTTTTTCTTGCATTTATATACCAATAACACATTATCATTCTCTTTTAGTCATATCATATGTGTGTCGCTAGTTTGAAAACTCAATGGCAGGGATCGGAATGTCAAGAAAATCAATATGTCATAAGACTGTTGGTGAAAAAAACGAAAACTGCAAATTGTTGGACAATCGGCTCCAACATTGTATGATGAAATGTTTCAAGATGATAAAATTCAGAGAGAGATGAAAGAACCTTAAGGCTTAAGCATGGGCAGATGTGCTGGTTGGACGGTCAAAGGTCTGACAGACATGTATTTCGATATAGAAGTACACAAAAAGTTGAGAATAAACAGTAGGACAGGAACATGAGTAACATTGTAGAGTGCAAGTAGAATTAAGAGTGTGTTGTTTCTTTCTGTATGTGGATGGATCCTTGAAACAGAACTGTCATTCTCTAGTGTGGTAAATTCATTGAACATAAAAGCATAAGCCTACCATGTTATGATTGAAGGATAATCTTGCATCTCAGTCCACACTCAAGAATATGCACAATAGTACTAAGGATGTTTTTACTTGGACTGTTTTCAGTCCCAGACCAGACTTAAACAGATCAGACCAGACTTGTCTTCCGTAGTTACAAAATACAAAGAGACTAAAACAAACCAAACCAGACTTAAACAGACCAGACCAAACCAGACTTAAACAGACCAGATCAGACCAGCAAATTACAGTCCAAGTAAAAACATCCTAACTATACATAAAGAAACACAGTAGGTCAAGGGATGTGTGCACTGTACTACACGTATTTTCATGCCCGATAGAGCAAAACAAATTTTAACACGAACTAATTGGGAAGAGATAGTTTTTTACATGGAGTTCCTGATCAATATCAAGTCTCCTAATAAAAAAGGGCCCAGGGTGTAAAGGGGCAAGCCTTCCCTTGTCATTTTGACAAGAGGCCATTCCCAAGACTTGAACCCGTGACTTCCCGGTCAAACAGCAACACCGTAACAAGTTTGCCAAGGCTCTCCTTCCTCCTAATCAAAACAAGCACAAAATAAAGAAGCCAGTTGGTTTGCAAAACCCAATGGATTCAGGCTTTTAGACACATAAAGCCTGCTTGAAATTAGACTTATCAACAAAAGGAGAGAGGGAGAGAGAGCGAAACGAGAAGATGCCGAAATATAGTCTGCAGTCAGTATCAATATACAACTGTGAAGAGAAATTAGCATTTAGGGAGTACTGCATTTGTAATTGATGATACATTAAAATTCAAATTGGTTTTAAAGCTCTAGGTTTTCGATGAGTGTGCATATATCTTTTTCTTGATTTTTTAGCAGCACTATCATAGAAACCACCAAGACCTAGGTGTGTTATCAGGAAAAACGTTAAAAACCCCTCATCTAATCATTTATAAAATAAAAACACAATTAAAATTAAAACTAGTTGCCTACTAACCGACTGCATTACCTTTGAATACAATGGATCTTCTGGACTCAAATTAAGGAAGTCCTCATGCATGACATGCACATCTAGGGTGTGTTAAGTTTGCATATATGAATTAAGAAATTGCTCCTATATAAAACATAGACAAAGTGCACAAAGAGGAGTAGCTATGTTACTTGGTTATATTTAAAGCATAAAACTTCCTTAATTAGGAGTGAATAAATTTTAGAAAGAGAACAATGATGGTCCTATTCGAACATTTTATCCATGTTTTAGTCCTATTTAAAAAAAAACAATTCTCTATTTAATTTGGTATTTGGTATAGTAAAGTACAGGATCAGTAACACTTGGGATCAATTGTCATCTCCTGATCTCCACCAACTTGGGGTCAAATGTTATCTATACCAAACACATATACCTCCAATTTGAAGATAGAAATAACTGTTATCAATGGTAAGCAAAGGATACTAGCTGCACCAGCCAATTCAACAGTGTGTTTTAAAATTTTAAACCTCTCTTTATCTAACTCACAAGCATGAACCTTTCCCTTTCCGTTCATAAGAGCAGCCAGATGGACAGTTTTGTTACCAGGTGCAGCACAAGCATCAATTACCTTCACAACAATGATCAAACTTGTTGGTAATAAGAGGTAGAATGGAAGTCAATGGAATTTGGATCACATGCATTCCTTTTTCCTTCTTTCTACAGGAATTTTCGTAGTTCTCTTTATATAATTACCTCCCATTCAGGTTTAGGGCTAAGTGATGTAGCCACCATGGAACTTGCCTTACCCTTGACAACACAAAAAGCGATCAGTTGTTTTGTCAAAAAAAAAAAAACATGATCCTCATGAATTGTTCATGTTAAAAATACAAGTACATTATGAACATTGTGTCACTGTGTGTTATATTATAAGTCAACATACATGTAAACAAACCATTTTAAAGATGTTTGTCTGTACGAAATAGATGTAGAGATATTATAGTGAAATACAGAGAAATTGTATTGGCTACCTGCAAAAACACAATTCCAGTCTTTACAAAAGGATGGTCATGCAAGTCAGTACCAGATGGGCATACTAACAAGTCAGGGATCAAATCATCCTTTTGGACCTGTTTGATGTAGCAAGGGGTAAGAAACTAAGAGGAAACGCAGAAAACAATAAATAACAAATCACACAAGGCAGATGTGAATAACAATCTATAGTCAGATAACAGCAGTATCTTACTGAACTTTGCATTGAAAGAAACAATTCATTTTCAAATGGTAACAGCATGTGTATCCTCATTCTCAGTATTAAAAGATGACACAATACCATCAAACCCAACAGACATGTTCATGTGTCACTCTGTGACTAATTGTGTATCCCTTTGTAGTACAAAATCAGGACTAGTAAGCAGTGTTTCAAATGGAGATATATGATCTGTTACACTAAGTTCAAAACTTTTGCACCACTTGTGCGCCACTGACTGGTCAGTATCTATTACTTCCTCCGTCCCTTAAAACTTTGCCAAGTTTGACCGGCACGGGGATTAATAAAGTAAAAACTATGTGGTTGAGGTTTGTGAAATTAACTGGAACCACATAATCTTTACTTAAAAAGGAAAGTGGCAAAGTTAGTGGGACAATCAAAAAAAGAAAGTCGGCAAAGTTTTAAGGGACAGAGTGAGTATTTAATTAATATGATACAAAAGTTAAACATTATCTCAAGTCTCAACCAAATGAGTGGAACAAGTGCCACACGAATTATGGTACAGAGGATTTCAATTTGCATATTAACTGCAAAATTGATAACTTCATAGTTAGAATGGGGTTTTCTACTGTAGTCCTCCTTCCATCAGAACAGTCAGCCAAATCCCCTTCAGATATCCTTAGACACCTAAGGTTCGTTCAGTATACAAAAGTGAGTTTTGTTTCTACCATCCAATAAGCACGTACAAGTGGGAGAGGGTCTGGCAAATTGTTTAAATAGGTGCTCAATAGTAATAGAAATGTACATGTTCCGACTTTAGGGGGTTGTGGCTTGGATGCTTGGTTATGAGTAATGAAGAACCGCCATGCTGATAAGAGTCAGCATTATGAATCCAATCTAAAATGGAAACTAATGACCAACTTTTGTGCTCTAGCATCATTAATTTCATTGACAGAAGATTTACCCTGCTACAACTCACATGACAGCCTCTCGTTTATTTCACCCTCAGAATATTCTGAGGTGATGAGATCAGACATGCAAAATATTACTCCATCAGATCCACTAAGATTGTCCCATCTTTCCTTTTTGGTTTGTCCCACTAAGATTGACTCATACCAAATTTTGTAATGTTTGTGTGATTCACAGTCATTTTGCTTTATTTTCACTTTATCAATTCAATATCAACCAAATAACTCATTTTTCTGGATAACTGCACCACTCCTTGTACCAGTGTTAGGGAGGCGGAGGTAGTAGAAGATTTAGAATAACAAGATCTACATATATTCATATCAAAGTGTTTTGGATTAAGAACAGAGATTCTCACGTACCTCAAATTTTTTCCCCAACTCAAGTAAGGCAGAGTCAACATCCATTTTAAGAGTATTTACACGAACATAACGACATTTTTGAGCATCTGAAGTAAAATAGAGCAACATTTACCACATGATATTCAACGACACCAGTCATTATTCACTACATCAACAACAATATACTTCTACTGCATTAAAATTGAGTTTTATATTTGCCTGGGGCTGAATTATTTTAATACATAGGACAAATATAGCAGGAAACAGCTATACTTTGAATGAAAAAGCAAAGGCTAAAAGCATTCAAAGAGAAAATGAGTAAAGTACTCTGAAATTTTCATAATTTGAAGCAAAGATAGAACTAAGTATTAATCATTCATATTCTGCCACCAAAAGAAATCAAAATGGATACCATGAGGAGTAATTAGCTCATTCACATTTCTTACTCCCCTTCTCACTAAAAGTCGAGCTAGAGCCGACTGCAATGCATCCTTCCTCAGCAGTAGAAACTTTTCAGCATCACCAGCTAATGCATCTTCCTATTAAGAGAAGAATATATATGAAAAATATCGAGGGAGTGAAATTCCACAATCTATGGTTTACTTAGAAAAGGGAACAACAATCCAGGTTTTATTTCCATACAGATTACGCATTTTGTACAGGCAACATCTTAAAAGTATTTCCACTACATATAAAGCAGCTAAGGGTCACATTTACTTAAGGCTATTGGCTTCACACCAATTCACTAAACTTGATATTATGGACCATCAGAGTCTTTCAAGTCAATGAAACAATGGTTGTCTTTGTAGACTTGTTTTGATCCTAAAATGGTATATTGAAAGTGTATAGATTAGTACTGCAGGTTATATGCTGTGCACACAGTGCGCAATTGCATACTTCGTTACATAAATATGTTTTGTGATGACTTCGGATGCTACCTCTATTTCCTATTAATGTAAAAGCATATAAGTTAATGTTCACTATTCCTTTTTGTGAAGCCTCTAAAGTGTGGCATCAAAATTAGCTCAACAAACTAAGAGGCATGTACTGCATATAAACATAGATGAAGGATTTACCGGTCCGAACAGGATGTCATATGTCACTATATAGACTAATTCTTCTTGTCTCTGCATCATGTATAGAAAATAGGCATCAATTCACTGAACGAATGGAACATGTCACCCATACAGAAATGAGTAAAGCCATGAACCATGAAATAAGAAAACCCAGAATTGGCATCTTATCATACTCAGTATTGTCAGTCTACTGGAAACAATTTATGATAACCATAACTTTGACGCCCTGATATATGTGCAGGTTCATTCGTCAGACTTTATGTTGATATACATATATAACCACAGCAACAAAGCGTGGGGCTCACACTTCTTCATGATACTTCCTCCGTCCCATTTAAAGGTTCCCGTAGCAAAATGGCATGATTATTAAGACAATAATTAAATATGCTAATTCAAGTATATATTGAGAAACAATTTTGATGAGTATGTGATATAATGGGTTATTGATGATAACCGTGATTTTATAAATGTGTTTTTTTAGTATTTGATTATTAAATTGCCATTTAAGAGTGTTAATTGTTTCCTAAAATAGAAAGTGAGAACCTTTAAGTGGGACGTCCAAAAAAGAAAAGTGGGAACCTTTAAATGGGACGGAGGGAGTATATAGTTTCAAGCAAGAAGAGATTTCAAACTCAAACAACTTATAGCATATTAACATCAAGCAAAAGTAGGATAAAAGGCTACCTTGAGGAGATACGTCTTCAAAGTAAAGTATTCGATAAAAAGAAAACAAAATCAGAAATACGAACATTATTATTTACTGACCTTCCATTTTCCGTTCAGTGCTTTGGAAGCCCCTAACACATCCTTTATTATGGAAAGATCTGCAACAACCAAGGTTTGAAATTGCGTATTGCGTAGTCGTGGCGTTTTCTTAATATTGCATATTGCGTAAGCCTCATTGCGCAATGAGGCGTATACATGAGGCGTAATATCGTGTGTGTGTGTGTATATATATATATATATATATATATATATATATATATATATATGTATATATATATAAACATAATAAAAAAATAAACATATTCATCAAAAATCATCAAATGTTATATTGAAACAACCACAAGAGGCTATAATCCTAGCAAAGTGACATGTTAAAACTTCAAAGTACCATAGAATTCCAAAACATTCTGAATAATTTATCAAAACAAAAATCTTAGATATGAAAATTTAAATTAATTAGATTGATTGACTGAAAAATCCAATCAATAACTACTGCTTTGAAATAGGGATCATGAGATCAATTATAAAAATTTAAAAGTGGGCCGAGTGGACCCAAATAATACCCTTACACCTTGACCTCCTATTGCGTACGCCTCAGAGCGTCTTATTGCGTATCCAATATTGCGTACGCCTCAGTGCAATATTGCGTACGTCACACTCCCAGCGCCATATGCAATGCCTTTTACGCAATAGTCTAGGAATTAGCTGAGGCGCGCCATGAGGCGCAATTGCATTGCGCAATTACAAACAATGGCAACAACAGAAGTAGGGATTAAATTAAGTAGAGTCTCAGATATAAACCTTCGTCAGTAAGCCAAGAGGATCAGGATACTCATAGAAAGCCATAAAGCTCTAGATAAAGTTAAAAGGGAGCCCCTCATAGCTAGCTCAAGATTATTCTATAAAGCTAGTCCAGGACTCCGAATTGAAGCTGTTCTGATGGAAACAAGGTTATCCTAAAATCTAAATATGCTTCATATAGAAAATAAGTGTCCAGTCAATTAGCCTAATCTTTCAAGGAATGTATCAATTGCTATGTCTGATTACCCACAAATAAGCATTACTATGCAATGCTTTATACCATCAAGGCCTCAAGGCCCTTGTCCAAAAGAAGTGACATCATCAATCAGCTTAAGATAATGTCCCCAATCTCTAGACAGCTCTAATCATAATCTCAATACTAACATTATATTGTTGAAAGTCAGTAATGTGACTAAACCTAAATGGCTAAATGTTTTCAGTTTGTGACTTTCTCTTGAGGAAACTATGACCCCATTTGGTAACCCTTTTACTTATCAATCTTATCGGCCAATTTTTTTATCATAACATTAAACTTTTGATTTCGCATGCTTCCATTATTTATTGATCAAAACATGTAAGGTTTGAGTTGCTCTAATGGATGAATTTTCTCAAGAGAAATGTTTTAGGTTTTTAATTTTTTTTTAATTCAGCCTTTTCCTCAGTTTCAACAAACTCAAAAGATTCGACCTATTCAACATTACCAAGTAGCTGACTCTAAAATGTTTACATATGAAGATACCAAACCTGAATTCGGTACTCCACGATCAATGTAATTGGTCCAATATACTAATATACTCCATGAATATAACTAATAGCTCAAAGCCCTCAGTAGACGTGCAAGTGTGGAACATGACTCCATTCTTAAATTCGAAGTTGCGTACAAAGTAAAATCCGTTGACATAAAAATCAGATAACTAAGTCATGCTACTTATAATAATGTACGGAGTATCTATTAAGTTCATTCATGAGTAAATTGTTTACGCTTGAGAGTTTCGCATACGAGAGCATACACAGCTCTCTTGTTCCTGACTGATGGCCCATACACTAACGACTTGATCGAGCCGACAGCTCGGCGCCGAGAGTCTCCTTGCAGCAAGGTGCGCAACACCTTAGCAGCTTCTCTCCGTGAGAAATATGCTGAACGCTGGGCATTGGTGAGCCCCTTCCCCGCAAGAGACTTCGTTTTCAAGCACTTCGTTGGCGGCTTTGCTGCCGCCTTCACATTTTCTGGCCCTGACTTGTTACGGGGCATCGTTCTGTCTTCCGTGAAAGACGCGCTTATTCAGGCTCCAGTGTGGTTAACTGGTTTTCGTTAAGCAGCGAAGTGCCAAATTTTGCAGGAGTAGGTTTGGCATAATGGCAGCGGCAGCCCCGGTCTAGCATTTCAAAAAAAAATTGAACACATTTCAAATTTTTAGTTATCATATACTTCGTATTACTTTATCTATCTTACTTTTCATTTTGTATTGTTCCAAATAAGTATCTACTTTCTTCTTTTGGAAAGAAATATGTGGTTTACACCATTTCACTTTATTATACTCAAACTCCAACCACAACTTTTACTTTTTCAACTACTTTATTAATAATCGTCTCAAGTCAAAGTGAGGCACGTAAAATAGGACGGATGTAGTGCATTATACACCATACGTCCCTTTCAAAAAAAAATACACCATCCGTCTCTATATAAAAGACTTGAGAAACACGACTTTAGGCGAATTATGTCCAACCTGCCCTTTTTACCCTTCAAATTGGTGGGGGTTATTTTAGTTACCAACTCATACTAGTACACTGCAACCTTTTCAGACAAGTGGTTATCTGTTCTTATTAATCGGCTGCCGCCAACCCAAAAAAGGAGGGAAATTATTCTCTTTCATTTATGCATTGTCATCATTAAATTCAAAATTTCCCCCAAAACCAACATTAAGAAGGCAACTGGTCAGCTTAGTAACAACATATTACAGCAGTGTGTCAAACCAAAAATAGCATAAAGTTCTGAGTTACGACTTGCTACAAGATCAAAGTACAAAAAACAGTCAAATGAAGATATAAGAAGTGTCCAAACTCTTCTTTTTCAAAGTGAAGGGCAAGATGACGGAAAGAATGGTTATGGCAGCTTGACAAAAATAGCCAAGCAGTTCGGGATGCGCCAGAAGGCTATATCAACAATATGGCATATCAACAAGCATCTGGAATTCCCTTAAACCCAAAGCTCACGATGAAGGGAAAAGTTGGTAAGAGAGGCGTATATATTGACCTGTCAAAAATGTTGCATATTCCTTTGAGCAACAGAAGGAATCTCATGTCACTCTTTATAGCTTCAGGACATCCAATATTATGTATGCACAAACTCAAACAAAAAGGTCGGTTCAAAAGTCACACATCAGCTATCAATCCCCATCTTACATACTTGAATAAAACACAGAGGTTAAGATGGATCATCTCTAACATTGAGGAGGACACAATAACAAATGCACCCCAGTATAAAGCATGTTTGACTTGATACATGTGGATGAGAAATGGTTTTACATAACATAGGCATCACAGAGGTACTACCTACATCTGAATGAAGCTGAGCCTCGTGGGTCATGTCAATCCAGAAGATTCATCACTAAAGTGATGTTCCTATGTGCAGTTGCCGGACCAATTATACATGCAAATGGTAAAGTGATTTTTGATGGGAAAAATGGAATGTTATCATTTACTACAATGCAACCAGCTAAGAGAAACAATAAAACCATGGAAGCTGGCACATTTGAGGAGAAAGCTATTGTTTCAATTACAAAGGATGTTTACAAGGAACGCCTTCTCAGTTTTGCATTGCCTGGTGTGAGCAATCATATTTACATACAACAAGACAATGCAAGACCTCATATTAGTATAAGTGATATCGACTTCATGAAAGAAGCCACCTCAAATGGGTTAACATTGAACTAATATGTCAGTCTCCTAATAAACCTGATCTAAATGTGTTGGATCTAGGGTTTTTTAGAACTATTCAGTCACTGCAACAGACCACACCAAGAAACTCAGTTCGTGATCTATCTCATAGTGGGGGTGGAAAATGCTTATGCTCAGTTCAATCCTATTGCGTTGAATCATAAGTTTGGTTGCCCCTACAGTTGTGTATGAATGAAATTTTGAAAGTCAGGGGGGACAATAACTACAAGGTGCCACGTGTAGGAAAAAATGCACTGGAAGCTCAGGGTAACCTACCAATCCGTTTCAAGGCATAATCCAATACATTGTTAGAGGTGACTAAAAAACCAGAAGAATGAACTTTGATTGACCGGTGTGGAAGTGTTTTTTGGGGACTGAACAAGTAAAGTATTCACATTTTTTTACTTTTTGGAATACTTGACGTGTTCAGTCCATTAAAAAATGGGTGCATATGCATTGGAAAAGCATGGATAACATTTTTGGATAGATTGATAAACCAGTGCAACAATTAAGATATCACAAGGCTGAAACTATTTTAGGGTTGTGAACATGGACAATGTTCAATTTTTTTACTTTTTGAAATATTAGACATGTTCAAGGATAGTTTTTTTTTGATATATTACTAAACAAACTAGGGAACATGTGGTTGTAATGCATTTCATGATACCTACACAAATGTGAGTAATGCAACCTTTAGTTTTGTATTTGGATTGTAAACAATGCCTGCCACACATCCCCCATGGTCTCATAGGGTTTCCCCCGGTGACTCAGTAGGGGTGAAGTCACATAGCAAGCACACACCACCATCACAAACCAATTACAGCCATCTCAAAACCAATTACATGTCGTTCATCATAGAAGACATTCACATTACAAACCCCAGTGGTCTCCTAGGGTTTCCCCCCGGTGACTCATTAGCACTAGAACCAACTTCATTAACATCACACTCACCATTATGCACACGCCGTTGTCCCCATACAATCAGACACACAAGGATGACTATGCATGCACACATTGACCTGGGGCCTCATACCAATCATCGCACTCACTGTCATGCACACATTGGCATTGAAATTGATTCTCTTATAGGGTCAGAGGGAGTAGTAATTTACACTGACACATAAACATACAGGGACAGAACATTGACCTCAGACAAGCATCACACACTCAACATTATGCACACACTGGCCTAAGGCCTCATACCAACCACAAGGACAGATCATTGACATCATACAAGTACAGACAGTAGAATAAATATGAAAGTACTGACCCGAGGCCTCATAGCAACACAAGCACACTTCACAATTTCATCATTGACCTCATACGAGCATCACACACTCAACACTACGCACACACTGGCCCGAGGACTCATATCATCCACAGGGACAGATCATTGACCCCAGAAAAGAACACACAGTAGGATGAATATGAAAGTATTAGCCTGAGGCCTCATAACAACACAGACATACTTCACATTTTCATCACTGACCTCATACAAACATCACAAACACAGATACCAGTTTATCATTGACCTCAGATTGCATGCAACAACCACAGATTACCTAAACCTGTTAGGGGTTTCCCCGATGACTCGTAACTGGTGAGGTAAGGTAAGCATATGCAATACCCGAGATTAATTTAAGAGGATTAATAGTACTACTCATACCAACAGAGGTGCATCTTTAAAACATCTCCTTTTAAAGGAGCTCATCACCCAAGAACTCCAAAGTTAAGCATGCTTGCACGGGAGTAGTCTTGGGATGGGTGACCCCATGAGAAGTTTCTTAGGGCGCGCATGAGTGAGGACAAAGTGCGCGGTAAAAGCTCGTGGTGGTTTGTGAGGACAGTACTAGAGGTCTGGAGTAACAACCTCGGGTCCTACGGGGCCGGGGTGTTACAGGTGGTATCAGAGCACCCCTGCGACAGTGTGCTGACCCGTTGGATATCGGGCGGACACTTAGCAGGGGAAAAGATTATGGGGTTTGATTGAGATTGGTTTAAGGGCGCAACGAGGACGTTGCGATCCTAAGTGGGGGTGATTGTAATACCCGAGATTAATTTAAGAGGATTAATAGTACTACTCATACCAACAAAGGTGCATCTCCTTTTAAGGGAGCTCATCACCCAAGAACTCCAAAGTTAAGCGTGCTTGCACGGGAGTAGTCTTAGGATGGGTGACCCCCTGGGGTTTGATTGAGATTGGTTTAAGGGCGCAACGAGGACGTTGCGATCCTAAGTGGGGGTGATTGTAATACCCGAGATTAATTTAAGAGGATTAATAGTACTACTCATACCAACAAAGGTGCATCTCCTTTTAAGGGAGCTCATCACCCAAAAACTCCAAAGTTAAGCGTGCTTGCACGGGAGTAGTCTTGGGATGGGTGACCCCCTGGGAAGTTTCTCAGGGCGCGCATGAGTGAGGACATAGTGCGCGGTAAAAGCTCGTGGTGGTTTGTGAGGACAGTACTAGAGGTCTGGAGTAACAACCTCGGGTCCTACGGGGCCGGGGTGTTACAGCATAACTAGTAGGAGAAAGGAGAGGACATTTATTTATCAGGGAAATAACCAAGGAGCACGAGGGCAATCCATTTATTCATGCGGAGTTGCATGTCAGGAGGCCGGTAATTCTGCAGTTCCGAATCAAGGAGCACTGTATCAGGCTCAATTGCAGGACATGCTTTCTCAGTTTTGTCAAACTGATCTTCATAGTCGGGGACAATCAGATCTGCAGGAGACACCAAACACTCTTGCTCATGAGGCACAATCGAGGTTCCAGCCGATGACTGCCAAATCGGGGATCCAACCAATGGATCTCCGGAGTCTGGAACAACGGCGTTGTTCACCTTTGCATCTACCAACCATTTTTGTTCCACTTCGTCCATAGCACATGACTTTGCCATGAAGAAGGTGGAATATGAAGAGGGGAAGATGGGTGAGTGAGGTTAATGGAGAAGGTGGAATACGTAAAGATGGAGCGGTGCGAGTGGGGTGAAGTAAATGGAGAAGGGGAATACGAAGAGGGAAGAAGGGAAGAGGTGGGGCGAAGTAAATGAGGGTAGCAAATACAAAAAGGTGGAATAGCGTGGTGGGTGGGAAAGGTAAATGAAGAGAGGTATGGATAGAAATTAAATGAGGGTAGCAAGGTCTTTTTGTCTGAATTTTATTTACTGAAATAGATAGGAGACTTTTATTTAGGAACAACCCAAAAAGGAAACAAACCCTTTTGTTTAGGGATGGAGGGAGTAATAATAAAAATAACAATTCAAATGCTCTACTTATGGTTAAAATAATTGTTGTTTACAACATGCGACTCCCACGTGTTACTGACTATAGTGACAAGTTAGTATATATGCAAAGTGTCTTGAATAAGAGTACAAAAATTCTAGAATGCAAAAATATGAGTAATATGACTTTTGTC